TTAAAAGAATTACGAAATGTTAAGGGTATTTTAGGTAGTTTATATGTTTGAATAGTGAAATGGGTTAGTTTGGGGTTAGTTTGGAATTTTGGCTTTGAATTTGGGTCATTTAGTGGTATATCCCCCCTACCTCCATCCCATAATAATATACTTACTTTTATTATCACACAAATGAAGAAAATGTAATTTTTTTCCTAATATACTTCTATATTAAATAATGATTTAGATATGATTAGTTTATATTTGTTGATACAAGGTAAATTAAATATGAGAATATTAGAAAACTAAAAATATCTATACTTCCAGTAAGAAAGGTGTTCTATGATTTGAGAATTGAGACCAAAAAAAAATTCGAGTTTATTTTTATGGGATAGAGAGAGTATATCCAAATTGTCAAAGGTCGCATGCTATGAGGAAATTTGCATGTAACCATGCATTCACCAATCATGCAAGAGACTTTTTTATTTTGTCCACTATTCATTAACAGTATTCTAAAAAGCACGTCTAGATGATATTAGCGCGAAGTACAGGAGAAACATCTCAAATGGGCAGTAAGCGTGAAATTAAGAGGCCAACGGCTAAGTTGACAGCTTAAGGCGCGCCTAATTGTATTAATTTTTTTTCCCCCCATTTTTAAAAGCCTTTTATTGACTTTTGTTTTTTTAATTTTTTTTTAAAAAAGGCCTTTTATTTGACTTTATTTTCAAAATTTAAATTGACTTTATCTGTACAAAAGTAAAAAAATTACTTTATCCGACAAAGATTTAAATAAAATTTAAGCCACAATACTATTTATATTATGTAATTATGATTTTGAGATTTATCATTTTGTTGAAAATTTCGAAATGTATGTGTGAAAGTAAATATGATATTTTATGATTTTAGATGTTTGATATGTATTATTTTAATTACTAAATAATTTTTAAAATAACTTAAAATTTTAAAATAATATTAAAAAAGAAAACACTTTTTTACACATAGGCTCGCCAAGTCTCGTAAAGCTCAAACATTAGGCCTACAAATCTAGTCACGCTTTATACTTTTTAGAACATTGCTATTCAATAATATCTCACTTGGAGACTACTGCGTCTTCGGCCTGGAAAATTTTGCTCTCTTTGTTAGCAACTATTGAAGTGGAAATTTTTGGTATCGACCTTCTCAAGTGTCAATACTCCATCCTTCCAAAGTGATAATGACATTTTATGTTTTTTTGTCCTCAGATGGAATGTGGAATTCTTTAGAGATGTATAGCACTCCAATTGTCACTATGCAACATATTCTTCCCTTGTCTGAAATGTCTGCCAACAAACAATGTAACAATATCAACTCTTCTCCAGCTTCGATCAATGTTATATACTTTTCTATTGTAGTGGATAAAACAAAAAACTTGTGTATTTACTAAACCAAACCAGCTACAATAGTACCAATTGTGAAGACATAACTGGTAGTGAAGGGTAGACCCAAACTTTTTGTTTTGTGGCGTAAAAAATTAAAATGTATATTTTTTTTATAAAACAAAATATTAATGAAAATAAGTCAATATATTACTTTGCGAGAAATCAAGGATGAAAATAAGGATTTTGCGGGAAACTGAAATTGAAATTTGAATAATTTGTTAATCTAAACATCCAATTTTTAACACGCCTCCAAAGAACAAACCAAAGTATGCCTAAGAGGCCAAATTTCATTAAACTTCGAAATTGCCCAAAACTTGAACTCTAAAAAATCTTCCATCTAAAATACTAATTTCAATGACACCTTCATATGCCCAACCACATTCAATCCTCAAAATCATACAAATTTAGATTGAAAACTAAATCAATCAAACACATTTAATTAATAACTTCCACACAAATAAGTTCTAGGCAATTAAATTGCCTAGAATTTATTTTCTTTCAATGCAAATTGCATGTTCGCAATTAAACGCACCCTTAATTTGTTAATTGGCCAATTTATTTTTAAAAAAATAAAAATAATTAGGCATATTTAATATAAAATTTAAAAAAATAGAGATATTCGATTCTCATTATGTTCTTTGGTTCTTGGTTTAGAATTGAGAACCGAATCAAATCACACTACAACAAAAACAGCCAACGGCAACGTTCAAAAAATGTTGTCGTAGGCAACGTTTGAACGTGTGTTGCAAATTCATGTGTTGTCATAGAGTGGGAGGGCTACGGCAACGTTTGCCAAACGTTGCGATAGAGGTCTACCGCAACGTTTCCCAAATGTTGATGTACCTATCAAATGTTGTATACGACAATACGACAACGTTTCCCAAACGTTGTTGTCTGTCATTTTACAATTTTTTTAAAAAATTTGCATAATTAATTTATTTGATTTCCAACAAACTTATTGAAACAGCAAAATGCTTACAAATTAGTCGTATGGAATCAAATTTTACATAATTCTAATAAACAAAAATACGGGATATAATTCAATACAATATGCTAACATCATTAGCATACTCAAAAAGTTTCCATAATTACCCTATTCAAAAAGATAGCAATCACAGTTGACCAACAAAAAGTATTACAAAGGCTCCGTTTGGGAGCCATTCTTCTTCAATTAATACATTTTATCTTTCACATCAAGTGGCGACCATAGAGAATGTGAGGTTGAAAAAGAAGGAAAAGTTATAGATGTGATGAAAAAAATTATTTAATTGAAGTATGTGTGGTTAAAAATGAGTAGATGAATGA